CTATAGAATTATAAAAAAAGGCTAAGGCTTATTAATAAGTTTAAGCTAATTTAAATAAGTTATTATTTAAATTAGAACGTTTTTATTTTTAAAAGCAAATAGTATTTAAAAAGAGTCGGATTATATTAAAAGAGTTTTTTAAGGATTTTAAAAATACTTTTTTAGTAACTTATAAAATATAAGCTAATAGTATTTTTAGGATTATTAATTAGGATACCGTAATAGCGAAGAGTTCTAAGTTTAATTTTAATTTTAGTACTCCTTAAGAAGTTATTAAAAATTCTAAAAGTTTATAATAAGTTCTTATATATTTTTTTTATATTTATAGTTTTTCTATTTAATAAAGTATTTTTTATTATTTTTTATTTTATAGTTAATAATTCGTTCGACTTTATATTCTAATTAGTTTAGTTTAATAATAATATAATTTGTTATATATAAACCTCTTAGTATAAGCTTAAATAATAAGACGTAAAAAACGGAGTAGTACTATATTATATTTAATAATTCTAATTCGTAATTAATTAGTAAGACCTTTTTAATAATTTCAAAAGGTTTAAGTTTTTTATAGTCTAATTTATCGCTTAGTTATTTCGTTTTAATATTATAATAAAAAAGATAAGTACTATCCTCCTTTTTTAAAAATAGTCCTCTAATTCTTAATTTATTTATATTTCTTTTTATATACTATTATATATAGTGGTTTTTTTTTTCTAGCTTTATAAGTATAAAAGATCGACCTTAACGGAATTACGCTTTTAAAAGAAATTATATAATATAATATACTTTTTAACTATATAATATACGTAATATATCTTAAGTACGCGCTTAACGTAATATAATAATTTTAATACGAAAACCGCTATTTAATTTAGAATAAGTAAGCTACCCTTTACGTAATAATACCGGTTAAAAAAGTTAATAATAAAAGTTAGCTATAATAATTAGCTATAATAATTAACTATAATAGTCGGTTATAATAATTAAAAGCGGCCCTTAATTATAAAAGTTCTAAACTTTAATAATAACGTAAAGGTTTTTAAAAAAAGGGCTAAATAGACTAATATTTACTACTCTTTAAAGCTCATAAAAATTCTTTTTATCCTTATTATTTTTAATATTACCTAAAGCTACTCTCTATTTAAACTAAATAAATTTACTAAATAAATTTACTAAATAAACTTATTAATATATAAACTACTACTTTAATAAAAACCTATTCTATTCTTAGTATATAGTTAGTAATTAGTAAGCTAAAATTATTTATTAATAAGTTTACCCCTCTCGGGCTAGGCACCCTCGGCTAGCTTAATACTATAGCTATTATAATTAACGTAAGTACGCTTAAAAAGTAGTAAAGTACTTTTTAATAATATAGAATTTAACTAAGTAATATTATAAATACTATAAATAGCCGGGCTAGTACGGATATTAAGATCTAGTATATTAATACTAGCTTAGTTATAATAATTATAATAAATAAGCTAGAGGTATATAGGGTTTAAGTAATAAGCTAGCGCTTTAAATAGTTTTTATAAAACTCCCTAAATAACAATAATACTTATATAAAGAAATAGATTATATTAGACCTAGCTATTTATACGGGCTAATATTAAGAGGTTTTATGCGTATTAAAATAAGTAAAGCTCGCCCTATAAGTAAGCGGTAGAAGGTTAGGAGCTATTAATAAAAGGGAAATAATAGTCAAGTTAGTTAATTACTATTTTAGTTAGTAGTTAGGTATAGAGCGCATTATACCTAGTTTTCTTTAATACGTAATATATAGTACGGCCCCGGCGGATTACTCCGTCGGGGGGATATATTATTATATAAATTCGAGGTTTATTAATATTTATTTATAGATCTTTTTAAGTTTATTTACGTTTATTATAGCTTTTATAGCTTATAGTTCTTATCGTATTTTTCTATATATTATTAATTAGAATCCGTAATTAAAATGGAACGGGGATTTTTTCGTATTTTTACTAATTATATTATTATATACGAACTAGGTTATTAATAAAAATACTACCTAATTATCCTAGTTATAGTTTATATAATAATAAAGATATATTTCGAAGATCTAGTTAATCCTTTTTATTTATTTATCGGTTTATAAATAAAATAATATTAATAGTTTATAGTTTATATTAAGTTATATAGTAGTTTTTTTTTTCGGCTTTATAAGTATAAAAGATCGACCTTAATAAGATTACGCTTTTTAAAAAAAATATATAATATAGTATATTTTTTAACTATATAATACGTATAATATATCCCAAGTACGCGCTTAATATAATATAATAATTTTAATATAAAAACCGCTATTTAATTCGGGATAAGTAAGCTACCCTCTTTAATTATTTATTAATAATAAACTAAGCAATATACTTACGTAGTAGTACTAATTAAAAAGGTTAATAATAGAAGTTAGTTATAATAATTAGCTATAATAGTTAGTTATAATAGTTAGCTATAATAGTTAAAAGCGGCCCTTAACTATAAAAGTTTTAAACTTTAATAATAACGTAGAGGTTTTTAAAAAAAGGGCTAAATAGGCTAATATTTACTACTCTTTAAAGCTTATAAAAATTCTTTTTATTTTTATCGCTTTTAATATTACTTAAAGCTACTCTTTATTTAAACTAAATAAATTTACTAAATAAATTTACTAAATAAACTTATTAATATATAAACTACTACTTAAATAACTATTTAAATAACTAGTTAAGAAGTTAGCTAGTTAAAATACTATTTCGATAAGAATTTACTTTTTTAATATATAATTAGTAATTAATAAGCTTATTTAAAAATACTTATTAATAAGTTTACCCCTCTCGAGCTAGGCGCCCTCTTTAACTAACTTAATACTATAACTATCGTAACTAATATAAATACGCTTAAGAAGTAGCGAAGTACTTTTTAATAGTACGGAATTTAGCTAAGTAATATTATAAGTATTATAAATAGCTAGGCTAATATAAATACTAAGATTTAATATATTAATATTAGCCTAGTTATAATAATTATAATAAACGGGCTAAAGATATATAAAATTAGGGTAATAAGTTAGTATTTTAAATAGCTCCTATAGGACCCCTTAAGTAATAATAATATTTATATAAAAAAATAGATTATACTAAACTTAGTTACTTATATAGGCTAGTATTAAGAAGTCCTATGTACATTAGAGTAAGTAAAGCTTGCCCTATAAATAGTTAGAAGCGGTAAAAAGTTAGGAACTATTAATAAAAAGGAGATAATAGTCGAGTTAGTTAATTATTTTAGTTAGTAGTTAAGTATAGAGCGTATTATACCCTATTTTCTTTAATACGTAATATATAGTACGGCCCCGGCGGATTACTCTGTTGGGGGGTTATATTAAGTTATAAAATTAGTAATTTTTAAAATTTTAAAATAAATAGCTTATCCCTATTAAAAATAATTTCTTTTAATAAACCGTAGTTTAAAAATATAACCTTAGTAAATACGTATATTAAGTTTTTTATTATATTAGATTTTTTATAGAGGATAAAGTACGTAAACTTAGTAAGTCGGTCGACTATAACTAAAATATTATTATATTATATTTTAGTAAATAGTTCTTTAGACTTTAGTAATTTAATAATAAAGTCCTATATAATTAATTACTATACTTTTATAAGTAGTTATAATAATTATAGCTCGCTATAAAGCTTATATAGGCTATTCTTACTTTTTTTATAAGTTACGTAATCCTTAATTACTTTTATAATTTTAATATATATAGTAGACTTATTATAATATTAATAAATCCGTTTTTATATTTTAATAATTCTTTAATAACTATATACTAATATATTATAAATTTTTATAATAAGCTTAGAGGTTATTTTTTTAGTTAGGTTAGTATTAATCTTTTTAATTATTATAAAAAACTTCGTAATTAATATAGAATTACTATTCTTTTTTTACTTAAAAATAACTTATATCTCTTCGGGGACCGTAACTTTATAATTAAGTTTTTTATTAAGAGCGTCTACCCTACTATTTTCTAAACCTTTTTAATAAATAATTTAAAAATTATATTTAAATAGGAATTCGCTCTATCTAACTTATTATTTATTTAGATTCTTATTTATTATAAAGTTTATAAAGTTCTTATAATTTATATAAACCATAACTTCGTACTTAGTTCTAAATAATTATAATCTCTATTTTTAAAATATTTTAATAATTATTATTAGTTCTTTATTATAGATTTATTAATTTAATTTTGTTTTATAAAATATTTTAAAATAGAAATAATATAAGTAAAGTTTTTTTTATTTTTTTTATTATTTTAGAACCGCTCTTATAATAAAGTTTAAAATATTAATTTTAATTTTAAAAAGTTTTTAGGGGTCTAGGATTATAATAATTAGTTTAAAAACGATTATATTCTTAATTTTAATAAATACTTTTTTATACTTAGGGTCCTAAATAAATAAGGTATCTTTTTATATTAAGTTATTAAAAAGTCTAATTATATTAATATAATTTTTAAAAAATTATTAATAAAAGTTAACGAATTTTAAAAATCCTTATACGTCCTTAATATTTTATAATATAAGCTAGTCCCTAACTATTTTTATTTTTAATATTTATATATAGATTTATCTTAGTATAATAAATATATCCTAAGAAATCTACTTTTTATATATAAAACTCGTATTTAGAGGGTTTAGTATATAATTTAGTATTTTAAAATTTTTAAAATACTATATAAATATACTTCTTATATATTTCGAAATTAAAAAAAAGATAAAGATATTATTAATATAAATATTAATAAAAATATTAACGTACTCCCGGAGTACGTAATTAATTATTATTTAAAAAGTTATTAGAGCGTTAATAAGTTTAAAGGGTATAATAAAGTACTTAAAAAGTCCTTTATAAGTTCGAAATACTATTTTTTATTTATTTTCTTTTTTAATTCGAATCTAATTAAATACTTTTTTAAAATCTATAGTAATAAACTAATTAGCTTTATAAAATAAATCTCTAAGCTTAATAATAAGTAATAAAAAATAGTAATTCTTTTTTATAACTTTATTAAATTTTCTATAATTAATAATAAGTCTTAATTTTTTACCCTTTTTTAATATAAAAAATAAAAAAAATCTTATAAAAGAATTCGATAATTAAATATATCCCTTCTTAAGTTTTTATTAATATATTCGTTAAGATATTTCTATTCTTTTTAATTTATTAAGTATATTAAATAGAACCTAAGTTACGTTCTTTTTTTAAGTTCGATCTTTATATCTTAGTTACTATATTTTAGTAATCTTATTTTTTTAAGTTTTATAAATAGTTTTATATATATTTAGTACTCTTTGGGTATAGTTTAGAGTTATTATAATCCTTAGTTGTTAATAATATATATAAACTTTTTAAAGCTTTTTATCGTTTTAATAAAAGCTATATATTATATTTATTCTCGTTTTTTAAAAATTATTAAAAATCCGTTTAAACCCTTTTTTTTTTAAATCGTTTAGTAACTAGATTTCTTTAAAAAACCTAATTAATAATCTAATTTATTTATAAATTATACTTTCGTAACTACGAGATTCCTAAAATAATATTAATATTTCTAATCTCTATAATATTATATTATAATTATTCTTACTAATTATTAATATATAATAAGAAATATACGGTCTCCCGATTAATATACTTATAGTTATAGTTAACTCGTTCCCTTTTTACTATTTATAATTAATATAAATTATTTTTTTATACTTATAATAAGTTAAGTTTATTTACTATTCTTAGTAAAATATAAGTTTTTTATATATTATTATTAATAATAGCGTTTAGTCCTCGTTTATAAATATTAAAATTAACTTATAAGTATATATCGTTACGTTATTAAGTTATATATAAGAACTTTTTTTTTATTTTTACTTTTTATCGTTTTTTTATAATTAGCTTTTTTAGTTTTTTAATATACGCTTTTTTTATTAAGTACTTTACTTACATAGTTCTTATTATTCTCTTTATATTTTAACTTTTTTAATATAATAAATTTAGTATTAGTTATATTTATAATCTTCCTACTCTATATATTTATTATTAAAGTATTTTATAAAAAAGTTAAAATCTAGACCGAATATTACTTTATTATTATTATTAAAGCTTAGTAATATCTAACTAAATAATTAGTTTTTTATATAAATATCCTTAATAAGTTTATTATTACGTTTTTATAAATAAAAACAGCTATTTTATTTATATACGAAGTACTAAAAGTACTTATTATTTAGGTACTCTACTTAAAATAGTTCCTTATAAAAAGGGTCTATAAGGTTAAGTAGAGAATAGTTTTTATTTATATAGGGAGTTATTATAACTTCTTTACGTTCCTTAGTTTTATAAAACTAAATAATTTAATTATTTATAAATAAATAAATATATTTATACGTAGTTTTTTATTATCCTCTTTAAAACTAATATTATTAATACTAAATAATATTTTATAATCGATTTTTATTTAAATATATTATCGAGCGACGTTACGAAGTTCGTCCGAATTATGAAATAATTCTATTTTATTAAAATAAAAAGAGCTAGGTCCTATTTTAATATTTTCTTTTTTAAAATTAAAGTTAATTTTTCTTTTTTTTATAATTTTAAAATTAAAAATCGGTTTTTTAATTACTTCGATCTTATTTTTATATAAAAAGTCTTCGAGCTATTTTTTAATTTTATAAATAAAGTTTTTATTACTATTTACTTTTTATATTATATAAATAGACTTAGTTAGAATTTTATTTAAATCGAGTCCTTTTTTAAACTTAGTAAATTATTTTTAGTTTATATAGTTTCGTCGTACTATATAAACAAGGCTATTTATAATTTCTTTAATATCGGGTCCTCTTTTTTTAAATTTAAGGAGTTACTCTTTTATATTAGCTAAGAATCTTTATTTAATTCGATTTTTAAAAAGATAAAATATATTTCTTATAACGAGGTCTATTTTAGCCTTTTCTTTTATATTTTTATAAATTTAAAAGAGTATAAGAATATATTTAATATTATCTTTTTTAAAAATATAGGGTTAATAAGCGGGTATCCTTTTTTTTTATTATTATAACTAGGGTTTTAATTAAAAATAGAGTAGTATTATATCCTAATTATTTATTATTCCCAAGTTATTTTAAGTATTATCTTATTTATTTTTTATTATTTTAATAAGTAAAGTAGTTATTATCGTAATAAGCTATTTATAAAAATAGTTTATAAAGGACTTCTTTATTCATAACGTTAGCTCGCTTTTTTAAAATAAGTTAATATTAAATATACTTAAGTTATTAATAATCTCTAGCTATATATCTAGGCTTATTATAATTATAATATTTAAAGTTTTTTTTTATTAAAGTTATTTTCTTTTAATAATATTCAGATTTATTAGTCTACTATAATATCTTATTATAATAGTCGTTAGTTTATATTTATATTTATTATTAAGTTTAGTTTAGTTGTTTTAAGCGTTTTATTTTTTTTATTTAAGGCGTCGTTTGTAAAATTAATTATTAATCTTAATTATTATATTAATATAATTATAGAGTTTATTAGGCCGGTTTTATTAAGAGAGGTCGTCCTTAACCTCTTTTTTTAAGCTGTAATAAAAAGTTATTATAAGTACTTCGTTACCCTAATCGAGCTTAAAAATAATCTATTTAAATTTAAATATATACTTATTAACTAACCCTTTTTATATAAAAGTTATAAGCTTTTATTTAGTAATTTGTTTTTTATTAAGGTTATTAAAAGTTTTTTTAAATCTTTTTTTAAACTTATTATAGTTATTAAAAAAGAATTTAGTAATTTTATTTTAGATATTATATTCGTTTTTAAAATAGTTTTTTATAAAGGGTTCGAACTAAATAAGAGTATCCTTTTTAAAAAATAAAACTACGTAGTAAACCTTATTTATTTTAATAATAAAAAAGGTCCCGTAATAGTATAAGTAGGCCCTAGTTTAAATAAGAAATCCTTAAAAAATATTTAAAAACTTATTATAAAGTTCTAGTTTAGGGTACTTAGCTCTAAGTATTAAAAAAGGTCGGGGCGCTATAAACTAAGTATAAAACTACTTATTCTTATTTTTAAATTTAAGTATTATATTATATAATTATTAAATAGTAAGTATAGCTACCCTAATAGGCTATATAGTACTATTATTATTAATAATTAATATATTCGTATTATTTAGTTAGTTTTTTTATAAAATAAACTTATTAAATAAGAGTAATTAAAGTATTATAACTAACTAGCCCCTTAACGGAGCAATCCGCTAGGGCCGTACTATATATTACGTATTAAGGAAAACTAGGTATATTACGCTCTATACCTAATTACTAATTAAAATAGCTCCTAACTTTCCCCCGCTTCTAGCTATCTAAAGGATAAGCTATACTTATTTTAATATATATAAAACCTCTTAGTATTAGCCTACGTAAATAGCTAAATCTTATATTATATACTCCTTTTTATTAAGGGTTAAGGGGCCTTTTATATATTCCCTTATATTTATAATATAGCTCGTATTAGAGGGATTTCTAACTCTATAGAATATAATTTTTAAATTAGTATTAATATATTAAATTTTAATATCCGTACCAGCCCGGCTATTTATAATATTTATACTATTACTTAGCTAAATTCTGTATTATTAAAAAGTATTTTACTAATCCTCGGGCATATTTATATTAGTTATAATAGCTATAGTATTAAGCTAGCTAAAGAGGGCGCCTAGCCTAAGAGGGGTAGACTTATTAATAAGTATCTTTAGCCTACTAATTACTAACTATATACTAAGAGTAAAGTAAGTTCTCGTTAAAGTAGTATTTTAATTAGCTAACTTCTTAACTAGTTATTTAATTAGCTATTTAAATAGTAGTTTATATATTAATAAGTTTATTTAATAAATTTATTTAATAAATTTATTTAGTTTAAATAGAGCTTTAGGTAATATTAAAAATAATAAAGATAAAAAAAATCTTTACGAGCTCTAGTATAAAGAGTAATAAATATTAGCTTATTTAGCTCTTTTTTTAAAAACCTCTACGTTATTATTAAAGTTTAGAACTTTTATAATTAAGGGCCGCCTCTAATTATTATAGCTAACTATTATGGCTAACTATTATAGCTAACTTTTACTATTAACCTTTTTAGCTAGTACTACTACGTAAGTATATTACTTAGCCTATCGTTAATAAGTAATAAAGTAGCTTACTTATTCTAAATTATATAATAGTTTTTATATTAAAATTATTATATTATATTAAGCGCGTACTTAGGGTATATTATACGTATTATATAATTAAAAAGTATACCGTATTATATAATTTCTTTTAAAAACGTAATCTCGTTAAGGTCGATTTTTTATACTTATAAAGCTAGAAAAAAAAACTACTATATAACTAGCTAATTATAATAAGTATATTAATAAAAGTTAAAACTATAAGTATTAAATAAATAGTATTATAGTTATAAATAGCTTTTTTAAAACTATATTTATAAATTATAAAACAAATAAGGCTTTAGTAATTAATCATAGTCTTATTAAAAAAAGTTCTTAATAAAAATAATTAAAAGCGATTATAAGATTTAATACTAAGTTAATTATTAAAAAAGTTATAAAAAGTTTATTTTTAAACTTAGTTTAAGTTTATATTATATATAAATCTCGTTTATAAATATATTTTTTATAATATTCTTATTTATTATTATCTAATTGTTTATTAAATAGTTATCTATCTTACTTATTTATAATTATTTATTTTATTTATTTATAAATATCCGTTTTTTATTTTATTATATAATTATAGTTACGTAACTTATTTATAGTTCTTTTATCTTAAGAGGAGTTATTTTAAGTCCGTATTTTTATATATATAATATAGTAGCCGCTATAAGTCCTATAGGGCGGGACCTTAGCCTTATTATACGTATTAAGTTATAATACTAAAACCGTAGTTAATAAAAGTAATTATAATAATTAGAGTAAATAATAAGCTATATTAATACTCTATATCTTTATTAATAGTATATAATAAATTAAACTAAAAATAATATTCTATAATAAGCCCGTAAAAGAAGGGGGTTAATTATAAAAAAAAGAGGGCTTATT